TTATTCTTAAGTCATTGCCACTTATAAAGTATTTAAAGTAGTGCTTTAAAAGGAGGAACTTAAAGAAACAGTGAAACTGCAAAGCAGCAAAACTTTCTAGTTTGGTACCAGCTGTGCTTCAAACCCTGCTCCTACATGCTTATAGGCGTTTGTATGGAAAAAATAATTTTTTGTGTGGTCTTATTTTTATTTCTTTCATTTAATCCCCTTTTCTTATGGCATGAGGATGTAGTTTATTCTCGAACCTGTTAGCCCATCACAAGTAAGTAGGCAAGAAACTTGACCTTGGTCGTTAATCTTTCTTCGAAATCTTCTAAAGGCTCAGGTGCAAGCCCGTCTCTTGCTTGTATAATTCAAAGTCTTAGTCAGAGCCCATATGTTAGAACCTGGAGGAAATGATGCCTGAGGATGACTAACAGAACATGTTCCTGCTGTTAATTTGGGTGTCATTCCAGAAACCAAATTCGTGATCTTTCCCTTTCGTTTTGTTAACACATTTACTGCCTAACTCCAATCTTTGCTCTTGTTCCCTACTAAGGCACTTAATGAAGGGATAAATTTTATAGTAACAGAGGTATTTGTTCACCCTGCCTGCGATGAGTAGGTAGAAGCAGAGAGCATAGGTGTGTTAGATTAGCAGAAATATGATTTACAGATAGGAAATTCACTTTAATGTAGCTTCCCTCTGCAAATGTTGTTGTACTCCGGTCTCTCTGAATGAGTGTGTAATCTACTGAGAGCGAGGACATAAAGTACTAATTGGGAATTATTTCTTCCTTCCAAAAAGAAGTGAACAGCTTTCAGTGGTTTGATGCTTAAAACTAATCATGCACTTACAATCTGATTTGCAACAGGAAAGCCAGGAAAATGAATGAAGAAAAGGTAGCTTACAATTTATAACCTCTTCTTCTCACTTGTTTCGTATCCATCTATTAGATTGCCTTTCATAGTGAAGGATGCATTGTATCCAGCCCAATGAATGCTTATTTATCTGTATGAGAGGTGAAATGGGGGGGCTGTAAGCTGGCTGGGCTGTGTGTGATGGGGTGGTGTCTGTGCCCGCAGTGCCCCGTGTGTGCCCGCTGTCCTGGCTTCTTTCTGCAGAAGCATTGAACCGCAGGAACCCAGGATAGCTGTGGCAATAAAACAGCACATTCTCAACGCAGGGTGAAGGCAGCCAACCATGGCTCAGCGTGGCGGTGCTGGGGAACGCCGTGTTAAACCGGGCTGTGGCGCAGGCTGCGTGGTGGTGGGCGCTGTCTCCTGGCTGCTCCTGGGTTTTGTGTCCCTCTGGTGCTTTCGTTGCTGCTGGGCGTGATTCTAGCCATGGCATTGCAGTACAAGAACAGGCGATTGATGAGTTTGCGTTGTCTATGTGTTTGCAAGGCTGGTAAGGTTGGAAGCTCGTCGTTGCTGTGTCCAGTCCCTCGGGTGCTCTGATTCCAGCTGTGCCCCCAACCAAGTCTGCGCTGAAGCATTTTAAGCTGACTGTTCTTCACAGTTTATTAAAACGAAGAAACAAGTTAAATCTATAGATTCTTTTTTAGCAGTAACACCATCTGAGAGGCTGTCTGGCTTGCTTGGCTTTTTTTAACTTCAGTTACTCTGGAAAAGCTGAACCAGCTCAGCACAACTGCTATGGACTTTTGAAGGTTGACGTTTATTTTAGAAGCCTCGGTGCTAAGTAGTAGGCTTGAGAAGCTTTCAATTATTTGAAATGGAATTAAAATGTCGCCTCCTGAGGCAAGACTTGGT